CCTGCACGGCCACAAGATCATCCACAGGGATGTGAAAGCTGGAAATGTCCTGCTCACCCTCGATGGGGACGTCAAACTGGGTGAGTCCCAGAGGAATCGGGGCCCGTGGGGTGGAGGGAGGTTGGGAGTGAAGCCCCAGGGATGGTTCGTCCCCAGGATCTTTTCCAACCACCACTTTTTTCTGCTCTGCAGCTGATTTTGGTGTCTCAGCCAAAAACTCCAGCACTGTCCAGCGCCGGGTGTCCTTCATTGGCACCCCGTACTGGTAGGTGTGGGGCAGAGATCCCTGGGGGTGGTGGGATTTGGGAGTGCTGGCAGAAGGGAGCCCAGGTGTCCCGTTCCTCCTGCAGATGCTCACAACTGGCTCCTCGACACCAGGAGCATCTCAAGAAACCAGATCTTTCCTCCTCCAGCCAACCCCAGCTCCAGGTTGAGCTTCTCAGTAGCATGAGACCTTGTATGGAGAGGGGGCATGGGGTGCTGGTGGGTTCAAGCCCTCCTAGGGTAGCGGTGGAAGAGTTGGGGTTGAATCTCACCTCTTCTGCCTGTAGGGTTGTCTCCAGAGGAGATGTCACCTGGGTTTGGTTTCAGGGGGAGACACCAGCCCAGGGCAGGCTGGATCTCTTCCCCCATCTCCTCCCACGTGCAGGATGGCCCCGGAGGTGGTGCAGTGTGAGACGTCCAAGGAGAGCCCCTACGGCTACAAGGCTGACATCTGGTCACTGGGCATCACGCTGATCGAGATGGCTGAGATGGAGCCCCCCTACCATGAGCTGAACCCCTTCCGGGTGCTGCTGAAGATCACCAAGTCCCAGCCACCCACCTTGCGTCACCCCAAGAGGTGGTGAGTCTCCATTGCAGAGACATCACCCCAACGTCACTGATGGTGGGAGAGGTTGTCACATGGGGCAGCTCCTGCTTGAAATAATGTCCAGGCAGCTGGGATGCGCTCTTGGACCATGAGTGATGCTGGTTGTGATTCCTCTAAGCTCAGCTCCAGAGGTGGCACCATGGGTTTCCCATCAGAAGGTGACACCAGTGGGCAGCACAGGGGTGGGGACCTCCTGCCAAGGTGCTATCAGAGCCTGAGTGTCCCTAGCAACACCCCAAGGATCTGTAGGGTCCACAGTGGGGGTGACAAGGAGCTTCTGACCCCATACTCACAGGCACCAACCCACAGGTCTGAAGACTTCAAGGACTTCCTGAGGAAATCCTTGGAGAAGAGCCCTGAGGCGCGGTGGTCGGCCAGCCAGCTCCTGCAGGTGAGTAGCACCCATCACCCCCTGCCCGGGGTGGTGGGACCCATCTCCAGTGCTGGCCCTGCTCACCTGCCTTGCTCCCACCCAGCACCCCTTTGTGGCCGGCATCTCTGACAAGCGGCCACTCCGGGAGCTGGTGGCCGAAGCCCAGGCTGATGTGCTGGAGGAGGAGGAGGATGAAGAGGAAGGTCCAGTCCCCTTGGTGAGTGAGTAGTGACTGGCTGGGGGGGCAAGATCTCTCCAACCCTTTCCATGAGCTCACTGAGCCTCACCTCTCCTCCACTGTCCACCCACAGCCAGGGCAGGAACATGGAGAGTCCTCCTGCCCCCTGGCACCAGGGGATCTCCTGGAGCACCAGCTCCCAGACACCATGGGGAGTGTCGTTGAGGAGCCGGGAATCCCATCTGATGTTCAGGTGGTGGTAGAGCCCAGGACCAAGACAGCATCAGAGTTCTTGAAGCAAATGAAGAGGAGGTCCTTGCCTGCGGGCTCCGTGAGGCTCCCTGTGAAGATGCCATCTGAGTTTCTGAGGCTGATGCGGCGCAGGTCGTTTTTTGGAGGGATGAAGTCCCAAGAAACAGTTAAGGAGCAGCACAGGGCAGAGCCAGGGGGGTTGGATGTTACGGTGCTGGATGTTCCTCAAGGGACATCAGTCCCAGCAGAGGCAGGAGGAGAAGTTCAGGGGTGTCAAGAGGAGGAGACCAGCCCTCTGAGGACCCCCTGTGATGTGGCCGAGCTCCTCTCAGGGCCACTGGAGCCAGGAGA